CAAGAGACACAGTGCTAAGAGTGCCTGTATTCATGACCAGAACCCAGCTGGGGAAGGCAGAGAGAGGCGTACAGAAGTCCTAAGTGCCTGGCAGGCAGGAGATGGGCAAGAAGCAGGGGCTGGCAGAGGCCAGTGTGGCAGCAACAAGGAGATAAAGAGGGCCATGCATTAGATGGGCCTAGAGTTGTAGTAAAGAAATATCGCAGAGGCTAGGAGTCAGAGGGGCTAGGCCCAGTTAACTAATGTTTTGACTTGTTCATGGGCAGGGTGTTTTTCAGAAGACAATGAGAATGCACCAGACTAAAATTGTATTACCTCCCCTCTCACTGGTCAGAACTTAAAATTTATTTGTCTGGCACGAAAGCCCTTTTATTTTCCCTTCAGAGGCTTAATCCTCGGCCTTTATCCTATCAGCAATTGGCAACCACTGAAGGAAGGGAACTGTTTTGGACAGATTGAACTGTTTTGAACAGATTTAACTAATTTGGACAGCTGAAAGGTAGGTCGCAGATCAGATGCAAGGACCAGCTAGTGCGGACGCTATCGCAGGGGACTGTGTAAAAATAAATAGGAAGGAATTCTGACTGCAGCAGCAGCAGATCTCTGCAGTTTTTAACATTCAAAGTATTTGATGTCAATTTTGCTTTTGGTGGAATAAAATACCTGTAACTAGTAGGCTTCTGGAAAGTTTAACATGGAAAACACCATCAGTAAATAGAAAGCTGAAGGAAACAGATGTCTTCCCTGTGGAAAAAGTATCACTCCTATCATTCATCCTGAGAATATCTGTAAGCAACCATTCAGAGCCATTCTGAGACTTCTGTATCCCCATTACAATTTGACCTGTCAGCCAGAACTTACTTATATGTACACCCTTCTATCTACTTCCATTTCTGTTTTCTTTTCTAGCTCCTAATCCAACGTCTTAACTGCTCTCCTTCACTCAGTCATACTCTATTCCATGGGACCTACCCCACTGTTGCTGGAGTGGTCTTCACAAACGCAAATTTCCCTCTCCTGCTTCAACAGATTCTTCATCCTGAGGCTTCAGAATGAAGCCTGAATTCCTTGGTTTGAAAAAGAGGGCCTCCCATGAGCAGGCCCCAGCCCGCCTTTTTGTCTTGACCTTGGTCACCCCAACAAATGACTAAGAAGAGTGACTTAGAATATTCTGGCAGATGTTTACTCCAAAACCTACAGATTTTTTCGTATGATCTTACCAGACTACCCTAGTACAAAAATAAAGCAGGCCAGTGGCCCCTACTTGGTGCCCTGACTGGGCATTGAACAGAAGAAAATTGCTGAAACACTGTCCAAGAAATAAAGACCGTTGGCTCTCTGACAACTTCCAGCTGTCTAGTACAGAGATGAAGATAAATAGGACTAAGCCTTGGCAAAAATGGTTAGTCCAGAAGTTTACTGTAGGGAACCATTTGCCCCTGTAAGAAAGCCCCCACATACTTTCTACACCCTCTTTCTGCCCTAGCACCAGAACCTTCCTGCTTTTCTGACCTAAATCCTCCTTGCCATGGTGTGGTAACAGTGATCTCATTTATACAACCACTGAAACTCTGTCACTACACTGTACATTTGCATATTAAGCCTCTTAAGGGAAAATAAAAGGCTTTCGTGCTAGACAAATAAATTTTACGTTCTAACCAGTGAGAGGGGAGGTAATACAATTTTAGTCTGGTGCATTCTCATTGTCTTCTGAACAACACCCTGCCTGTGAACAAGTCAAAACATTAGTTAACTGGGCCTAGCCCCTCTGATTCCTAGCCTCTGTGATATTCTGATATTCTTTTCTGAGTCTTAGATGTGGAGGACTTCTGAGTCCATTTTCCCAAGAGCCTTCTCTCCTCCACAATCACCCCAGGCTAACACTCCAGCCAAGCCCCAGCATGGGGATCGTGCTGTTCCCTGGACAGCAGGCCAAGAGCACAGGCCCAGGATTTCTACTGCCTCAATCTCTCTGCCAAGAAGCAGCGACAAAGCCAGGCAAAGAAGAGTTGGCTCATAGAGACAAAGCAGCCAACCCACTGGCCACCAGGCCATGCACAGGCTGGAGTGTGGGGAAGACAGGCCAGTTCTCACAGAGCAACACAGGAGCTGGGAGTTCTGATGTGTGCACAGGTAAATGGGTAACAGCCAAGCACTATCTGTCTGACAAACTCATGATGGCTGAACTGGTATGTATCTGCTGATATGAAAAAATGTAAGTTTTTAAAACTTTGACTTGCAGTGTAATAAGGATAATTACAATCTTTTAAGTAAACTACCTGATATCCATACTAAATTACCACTCGGCACAACAGTCAAAACATAATTATGTACCTCAGATTTATCTGAGACGTTTCAGTTTTGTTTTAAATACAGTAGTAAGTTCTGTACACATAACAATCAGCTGCTACACAGTAAGAGACAAAATGAGGGGAGGGTGCCTACTTTATCAAGTTACTGTATTCTTTACATTTTCCTTAATACTTTACAGATTTTCAAGTAAGAGTAATTCCAGAGATTCAACCTTTTCTATTATTAAATAAACTGTACTACGATACCTTGTATAATGGATAAGGAATCAACTCACTCATGGGATTCTTTTCTATCAATAGTGTCAATAATAATGGAAAAAAGAAAATGAAGAATTCTCACCAGACACTTAGGGGGTGCGGGGAGCACCAACATCTGTCGAATTTATGAAATGTACCCCACGTGCCACATAGTGTGCTAGGTCCCTAGTTTCATCCCCTAACCTTTCAGGCCAGGACTACTGTGGCCAGGCTGTGGTTCAGAGAACAAAGGCTTCAGGAGGTAAATGCCTTTTTCAAGGTCACACAGCCAGTATGTGAAAGCACTCGCTCAGAAACATCAGACTCCAGATCTGTGCTCTTCCTGTAACAAGGCCTAACAACTCCTCTCACAGAAAAGCTGCCCTGGAGCCAGAGAGCCTTGGAGGAGGAAACCACAGGCTAGCACTATGGGAGGCCACCTGCACACAGAGCAGTTCCTCTAAGAGTAAGGCTTGCTAGGTTTGTCTGGCTCTGAAACCCCTGTTCTTTCCAGTGTCCCACGCACACTCCATACATTCTGCCCTTTGGTCTGACAAGGCGAGAACCTCAGGAAGCTGACAAGCCAAGCAGCTATATCTCCCCTGGCTCTTCTCTTCTCCCTCAATTTCAGAGTGTCTGTGGTTGCTCCTACAACCACCACATCTAATGGCCACTGCTCATCTCCCGCTGTCAGGGTCAAAGAGACCCAAGTTCTAATTCTAGACTTGATGCTAACTTGCTACATGATCTCATGAAAGAACTTCACCCTCTGGGCCCCATGTAGCTAACGGAGCAGCTGACCTCTCAAGGTCAGCTGTAACAGCCTTTTTGCTCAGTGGCTTCCTGATATCCTTTCCCTTTCATCACACTCTCAAAGAGTCAGGTCTTTCCTCATCATCCCTGCAGTGTCACCAGCAACATCGCCATTTCCTTCCACAGAGTCAAAGGCTCAGGTGCACCCTGCAGGACGGGGGTCAGCTGCTTTCATGCGTCTTCAGACACAGAGACCCCAGGCCAGGGCCGAGCAATCCATAAGCCTGTGAGTGACAGAGGCTGGCTCCTGGGATATCTCACAACACAGGTAGGTCATCGGTTCCAATACAGGCCTGGAAGCCACCTGAAAAGCTTCCTGGGACATAGTAACACTGGCAGAGAGGCCAAGTGACACAGGGCTCGGGCTGAAAGGACAGCTGCTAAACCCTCAATACATGAAAGACAATGCTCCCAGAGACTACATGTCCATCTTTCCAAATCCACCAGCACTTAAAATGGGAGCAAGGAGATGACTAACAGGTACTGGAAACCATGCTACAAAACTAAGAAAGGAAAGGCAGCTTTCCTTTCTCTCAGCACAGAAAAGGGGAAGTGCAGTTGCATGGGGCTAGGGGATGGGGGAATGAAATCGGATAGAAGGAAAACTCCCCTGAATTTTATACCATCCCATTTCACAGCAGCTAAAACTTTAAACATTGCCCACCTCAAGATGGTAAAATCACTTTCTGAGATGGTTGCCTGCCGTTCCTTTGGCCCCACCTCACGCAAGCCCGTCTTGATTACACTCCTGAGAGGTAATCAGTTCTCAAAGGAATAAAATCAGCATACCCTAAATTAATTCTGCAAAGTTTACGAAGGAAGGGTGTGTGGGTTACCTCAGCCCCAGGGCCATGGTAAATTACACACCAACTACTTCTGTGGGTTTTCTAAGCCCATTTCATCTCCTGCAGAGTTTATAAATAATAATAAATTATATTAAAATCTGTCCCTACTCCTTCAGTGCTGTTTTACATACATGTTACCACAAAAACTTGCAGAACCAGCTTCACCTCTCCAATTCTGACGAATAATTCAAAATTAAGGGAAAGGTTCACAATATTGGTAAATCCAAACAAAATTATGGGACTTTTAACAATTTTCCTAATTATTTCTGAAAAGAGAGAAGAAAGATATCCACTAACAGGCACCAAAACTTTTTCATTTAGAAAGAATCCTGAATGAATGAAAAACATGAACGGGGTACATTATTCTGGTTTATTTTCAAACACCCTTTTCTTTTCCCCTACTCCTCCCCTCCACCTTTTTTTTCCTTTGAGACAGGGTCTCCCTTTGTCACCCAGGCTGGAATGCAGTGGCACCAACACAGCTCACTGTAGCCTTGACCTCCTGAGCTCACGCAATCCTCCCACCTTAGGCCCTCCAGCAGCTGGCACACCATCACACCCAGCTAACTTTTGTATATTTTTGTAGAGATGGGATTTCACCCTGTTGCCCAGGTTGGTCTCAAACTCCTAAACTCTGGCAATCTACCCACCTACCCACCTTGGCCTCCTAAAGTGCTTGGATCACAGGCATGAGCCACCACACCCAGCCCATTTCATTTTTTAAGATGATTCTCTGCTCTTTGCTTTACAGTTTTTTTTAAAATTACTGTCAGCCAGGGGCAGTGGCTCACACCTGTAATCCCAGTACTTTGGGAGGCCAAGGTGGGCAGATCACTTGCAGTCAGGAGTTAAGGGACCAACCTGGCCAACCTGGTGAAACCCCCATCTTTACTAAAAATATAAAAATCAGCCAGGCGTGGTGGCACGCACCTGTAATCCCAGCTACTTGGGAGGCTGAGGCACGAGAATCACTTGAAACCAGGAGACAGGAGTTATAGCAAGCCAAGACAGAGCCACTGAATTCCGGCCTGGGCAGCAGAGTTAGACTGTGTCTCAAAAAATACACAAAATTTAAATTTTTCTTAATAAAATGTTGAGAGGAAAGCTTCCCAGGCAATTAAAATGTACAGACATTATGCCAAAGTGTGCTCTCCAGACCAGGAGCCTCAGGGGTGCTTCATTATTTGTTAGAAATGCAGATTCTCCGTTCTACCCCAGAAGTACTGGATCAAAAACTGTGGGATGGGACGCAACAATCTACGTCTAACAAGCTCCCCCATGGGAGAGGAAACACTGATAAATATCTTGCCAGCCTGCTGCAGAGAAATATGCTAAGACCATTTGTACTTTGGGATCCAAGCTTCAACAGTGTTCTAGACTGGGAAATCAGGATATTACTTAGGCTGTAATCTTAAAGTTAGGTAACCTACGTGTTTACCATGATAATCTTCTAACTCTGATGCTACACATTTCCTCCCTGGAGTCCTTAATGGGCTCCTTATTTGGTCTTACCACCTTCTTTTGAGATGGAGTCTCACTCTGTCATCCAGGCTGGAGTGCGGTGGCTCACTGCAACCTCTGCCTCCTGGGTTCCAGCAATCCTCCTGCCTCAGCCTCCCGAGTAGCTAGGACTATAGGCACATGCCACCACACTCACTGATTTTTGTATTTTAGTAGAGACACGGTTTCACCATGTTGGCCAGGCTGGTCTTGAATACCTGACCTCAAGTGATCTGCCCACCTCGGCCTCCCAAAGTGCTAGGATTATAGGCGTGAGCCACTGTGCCTGGCCATTAACCACCTTCTTTCCGTTTCACAATTTTTAACATGAGAGATAACTGCCAAATCAAGAGACAATTGCCTATTTATCTTTCATTTTGTATTAATCTGTATATATTTCCCCAAAAAATGTTAAAAGTCTAAAACACAGACTCACAGGCCCTTCTCTTGGTAAGCTATGTTGGACAAAAATCATTTTATTTCAGAGAAAATTGGCTTTATCTTTAAGGCGTTCTGCAATTACAATCAAAAGACAACCTCACTAACAATACAAGGTTCTTTACACTTCCGGGTATTTTGAAATATTAAGAGTATTTGTGGAAATAATAATTTTGCATTATTGTATTGTAATTTTGTATTATAATAATTCTCACAGGAGCTTTAAAATATAGTCCACTAAGTTTTGCAGAAGCAAATCCTTTTCTTTTTGAAGATGGTACTACATGAGTAAATGCTAAGTGTATTCACTGTTTGCATTTCTACAGATCATCTGTATACCATTCAAAGATATATCATTAGAAAGTTATGAGAGGGTATGATGGCTTGAATATTTGTCTCCTTCAAAATTCATACTGAAATTTAATCCCCAATGTGGCAATATTGAGGTGGGGCCTTTAAGAGGTGACTGGGCCATGAGGACTCTGTCTTCATGAATGGGTTAATCCATTCATGGATTAATAGGTTATCATGGGAGTGGGACTGGTGGCCAAAAGGAAAGGAGACATGAGTTAGCATGCTCAACCCCCTCACCAGGTGATGCCCTACACCAGGACTCTGCAGAGAGCCACCATCAACAAGAAAGTCCCCCACTAGATGTGGTCCCTTATTCTTCAACTTCTCAGCTTCCACAAATGTAAGAAACAAATCCCTTTTCTTTATAAATTACCCAGTTTCAGGTATTCTATTATCAGCAACAGAAAATGGACTAAGAATGTTAAAATGAATTCCTCTTCTCACATCAAACGATCCAGCCAAACAAACCACAAAACATTTTGCTCTTTCTCGTGTAGTTTAAGGAATATATTCTACACTCCTGTCCATTAAGGTTCTTTAAGTCCAAAATAAAGGTAGTTCTAAGTAAAACTTAAGGTCTTGATAATGAAATATAAAGCATCAGCTGAACTAGGCCGACATCAAGAGAGAAAAGTAAACTGAAGACTACTTACTAACCGTTGAAGGCCTGAAACTAACTCAGATTCTAATTCATGAATATTAGCTGATATTTAACTAAAAATAATGGACTTTTAGTCAAGAATAAAATCAAAACTAAAATACTAAGGAAGAAAGAAGGCTCATAAATTAATTGCTGGCAGTTCTCTGTGACACAGTGTCCACATTTACCTGTCTACCCACCCATGACACACTACTTAACCTGTAATAGTGCAGCGATGCTTACATCAGTTTTTAAACCCACATTAATTCAGAAGCAGCCATCAAAATTCTGCAAAAGTCCTTGAACCACTAGAAATAAGTGCTAAAGACTCTTTATAATTCTGAACCCTCAAAGTTAATAGTTGCAAACAGCTTCAAAACTCTTAAATTTGTAACTAACATATAAATCAATTTGTTTGGTTTAATCTTCACAGTCAAGAGTAAGAGATGAAACGGCTAAATGAGTTATCCCAAGCCTAAGTCCACGTTCATTCTAGCAGCAATACCCAACCTAAGGAAGCAGCGAAGCTAAAAGACACTCCACATAAAGGATCCCCACAAGGGGCACTAGACATGCAGGAGACTCCTAAGAACACTTAGCTTTGGCCGGGCGCGGTGGCTCACGCCTGTAATCCCAGCACTTTGGGAGGCCGAGGCGGGTGGATCACGAGGTCAAGAGATCGAGACCATCCTGGTCAACATGGTGAAACCCCGTCTCTACTAAAAATACAAAACATTAGCTGGGCATGGTGGCGCGTGCCTGTAATCCCAGCTACTCAGGAGGCTGAGGCAGGAGAATTGCCTGAACCCAGGAGGCGGAGGTTGCGGTGAGCTGAGATCGCGCCATTGCACTCCAGCCTGGGTAACAAGAGCGAAACTCCGTCTCAAAAAAAAAAAAAAAAAAAAAAAAAAAAGAACACTTAGCTTTTATCCAGATTTCTACCAATAAACATGAAGCAGCCACAAAAAAATAGACTATTAGGGGAAAACAAGGTGGGTTTATGTGGAAGAGATGGAACCCACCACATAAACTACAGAGCCTGTCCTGAAGAGGACAGATGCCATGTGAGACCACGATGTGCCCATGGGCCTTCTGGCCCCTCTTCAAGTCACCAACCACACATGCGCCTACCAGAGTGTTCCTGTCACACCCCAAAAGTGTTGAGATGCTGACTTTGGCACAGGGCATCATGTGAGAGAATGTCTAGTTTCATGTTATGTTATAGACTTGAAGCCAAAATGGTGATGGCCATCATGACATTCTACTCACCCAGTAACTCAAGTGTATTGCACAGAGCCGAGGCAGAGGCCAAAGTGAAAGGCTCGATTATCCAAGGGATGTAATTCAAGTCAGTCTTAAATGAGATGAATATGGTGCATACCTTACCATTTAACTTTTGTGATTTAAACACAATAGACAAGAGTAAATGGTTTCAAAAAGTAAAACACATGGCTTTTTTGCTTATCTTTTTCGCCTGGAAAGCTTCAAGCACACAACAAAAGTAGAGAGTAGAAGAATAAACCTTGTGCACCTATCACTATAGCTTGACTAATTACGAAAGCATGGCTACATCTATTTCATCTTTATTCCTACCCACACCTCTTCCTTGTACTGAGTTATTCTGAAGCAAATCCTAGCTATACATCATGCTCTTGCAAATACTTTTAAAATCAGTACAGCCACGTCTTGCTTGACGACAAGGACATCGTTCTGTGAAAGGCAATTTCATCCATGTGAGAAGCATCACGTCATACAGCACAATTCCACAATCCTCAATGGTATGGCCTACTCCACACCAAGGCTACATGGTCTAGCTATTGCTCTTAGGTTAAAAACCTGCACAGCATGTCAATGTACTGAGTACTGTTTACAATTTGTGTATCTACACATATCTAAACATAGAAAACATACAGTAAAAAAAAATATTATATTATCTAACAGTACCATATTATCTAACAGTACCACCATCATATATTAGGTCCATCATGGACTAACACATCCTTATATTCACATAACTATACTTCTCAAACCTGGCTATGCAGTAACTTGCCACATTCTTAAAAAAAATTACAGATTTCTGGGCCTCAACCATAGGTCTATGCAGGAGTAGTACTAGAATCAGTTTGTTCTGTAATCTGTCAAGGTGAATCACCCACAGGTGGAAGAGAACTACATATTCCTTAAGTTCTAAAAGCAAAGCTGATCCTGTTTTCATTCCCTCCAAAGAGACAAAGTGTGGCAGAAACACCAAACCAAATGACAAATGAAAACCTAAAACACCATCTGCTGTTAGCCTTCGAGTGGAACCAGGTGCCCAATAAAATCCCAATCACCTTCTATTAAATCCATGTACTAGAAGTTTCAAAAATAGCTGCCATTTGAAAGCACTGAGCATTTTAAAGAGGAATGAGAGCCCATACTGACCCATCCCTCCCTTTTGTATAAAAGGAACCTGAGGCCCAAACAGATGACATGATCTGGCTCAAGATAACCAATCCTGCTGGTGTACTACTGCAGAAAATTCCTCCTAGCCCCTTAAGAAACTGCCACTCACTAACCTCACAGCTTTGCCTGTTTACCTGTCATCCTAGGCTGTTCCAATGTCCAGAACCTGGCAAGCAAGTACACAGGACACTGCACACTGCGGGGCTGGAATGCTGGGTCCATCCCCAAGCACCACCATTTTTAAGTAAGTCATCATCAAACTAAAGCATATCCATAAGTATCATATAAGACAGAAAAACAAGACTTTTTTCTGTAAGACATAGTAAGAAAGAACCAAAGATGCTCAAATTAAGCTAAGAAGCTTTAGAGAAACATGATTGAGGTCTTCACTATCTGGCTAGTCATCACTTACTAGAGCAGAAGTTACAGGGAAGAAAATGTCAGCCGACCTTCCTAACTGTGAGTGATG